CAAATTCATCTGGCGTATGAATAATGTCCGTGAAATATTTCACTGCGATCAAAATAAACGCGTGCGCCACCGAAACGACCCGTTTTCCCACATAATCATAGACTGTCTCCGCTGCGGTTATTAATCGCCGTTTCATTATCGGGACTACGATGGCGAGGGTTGGGAGGGCGAGCGGAGGGCAGGCGATGGGGTATTACACGTCGCAGAGATCCACACGTATTACAGCCGATTACGCCGATAAAATCGCGCGATGCATTAGTCGCGTAAGCGTTCTCGCATGTATACACAGTATGCTCTGGAATGCGCGCGTGATATTTCAGGAATATATCGCCGGCAAATCATTGCGCTTGTGCAAGTCGATCGTTCCCGAGTGAAAATTTCACGCAAGCAACTCGCTTTCCCAATCGCGATTTCTCTAATTCCAATGTGAGCAATCTAATGGGGCGAAATAAAACTGTCGCGTGGCTAAGTGTTGTGTTTTCAGCGACGCGTAAATTTACTAAATTTATTATTACATTATTTTACAGCGGCAAATGTCCTCGATTAATCGAACAAAATTAATTTTCTCTACATTCATATATATTGGCTTGTCCAGAAAATCCGTGCGGATTTTTCGGTAGATGGTGTTCAAATGCAAATTTTAGAAGTTTACGTTTAGAAGATTGGTGCAATGTGTCAAATATGTATATGTTTTCATAAGTGACGTTTCGACACATATTTTATGATAATAGCTGTAACGACACATTGTATAGTGTAAGTTTCACTGAATTCGTACGAAAACTTATATAATGTTACAATTACTTTAAAAATTAAATTATTTTGAGATTTAGATAAATATTTTCTTCATTTGCATAACGAATAATATTTCATTGTTGACATTGCGTCGCAGGATAAATGTGCGAGAAGTTCTTTTATCTTCAATGATTGAAAAGCTCATGTTAGAAAAGCTTTTAGGTATGCGTTAATCATTTAAATTTTATTTAATTTTTGTTTTTGAAATTCGCAAAATAACAGAAGGAAAAGAGGCAAATTAAAATATTTGACATTTTCGAAAAATCTCCGAATACGCCATTATAAAGTGAATATAAAATATATAATCATAAAATTTTTGTGTCAAATATTTTTTCACATACCTCATAGTTCTGATGGCAGTCGCTGAAGATAGAATATTCGGGGAGATATTTTCCAGAACTACTTTGTATCTTTGTCTCAGTCCCGAACGTGCAAGTAAACATAAGAAAAAAGAAACTGTTATTATTTGAGAATAATTATATTTTCATGTGAGCGTTCAGTTGTTAAAAGCATGTCGTTTATGTACTTTATTGTACCCTGTACATGCACGAGAGTCGACTTTTCTGAAAGCACGCGCCGCTCAATCCGACGCGGTCGCGCATTAGCGTTACGATTTCCAGCGTTGCGGAAAATATGTGCGTAGAGCGCGATACGCGTACATTAATTACCACCGCCGGTGATATTACTGGATTCCGTTGGTCGAATATATCACGAACGAGTCCGCTGTTCCGTGCACACGAGTTGCCTGATAAATCGGCACCGGTGAGTTTAACCGCGCAGGTCTCAGACACGCGATGCAAGATAAGCATGTTGGTTAGGTTTAGTTTATATAAATATGTTTAAGGGTAGACGATTCTTTACGTACGACATGTAAATGAAATTACATATATTTTATTCGTCGCTATGCGAGCGCGCCGGATATAATATTTGGATGTTTATTCAGAGTCTCACGATGAAGATATTTAAAGTGTTAACGGACGAGCGTCATTAATCAGTGTTTTTTAATCACACTCACATTCGTTAATTCTTCGGGGATAATCTCTATATTTCTCTCTACGTTTCTCTACGTTTCTCTCGCGTGAAACGAGACTACAGTAATAAATACGTTTAATTAAGATAGCCTGAGCTATTAAGCGACCTTGTCTTCCCGTTATGTTTTCAAATACCATCGACAATGCGTTAAAGACGCGTTAGCGTTCTTTCAAGATAATATCACAGATAATAATGGTTCAAGATAACATCACAGATAATAATGGTTGTATAGAATTCGTCCGAGACGGCCCGGTGTGAAAGATAACGAGAATAGAGATAACGAGAACGTTGTCCTGTGAAAGCGCCGTCAAAGATATGTCTTCTGCTCGCGCAGGTTTATAACATCGGCCGTATGTTCTCGTCTCGTAATTCGCCTATAAAGACCCGATAAAGCCCCCATGCTTCTCCCACGTGCGTCCCGTTATCGTTTGGTGTTTTAAGGTCACGCGTTTTCGCGAGCTGTGCGCTCGATTCTCCGCATTGAGCTATTCTGCAAGGTACGTACGAATCTACATTCTTCATTCATACATGGAATAGTCCGGACAGACAGTGGAATAGACCAATAGTTAATCCTTAATCGGAAACAACGGTAGTTGGAAACGCAATGTTGGACTGACATGATTAAAATGCGATGAATTATTAGACGGACTAACTTTTTTTTTATTCATTTGATACGAATTAAAAGGCATTGTTGTTGTTCCTTTGTAAATTTTAATTGCCTTGAAATAGTCTGACATATTTTTTATATATACTACTTGAGTGTATAAATTATTAATCGATAGACGACACAAAACCGATCGTTTGTTGAACGACGTCTAGACTGAGGTTAAACCGACTAACCAAATAATTTTTCTCAATTAACCAAGCATTAACTTTTTGCAATGACTTGTTTTGCTTATTAATAGCATATCTTCGTGCAAAAATAATATAAATCGTCCATTTATCGATTTTCATATCTTTTTCATTACCCAATGTTTTCATGCGGTCACATCATTCATTTTTCAATTGTTAGCATAATGTCGGCTAAATGCAAAATCCAACATTTGATCAACCATTGGCCGTAAACCAGTGTGACGCCACCAATACCGATCCATTATTATTTCGGAACGTCACGACGTTCGACATGTCGGGCCAACGTATGAACATTAGTCAATCAATATAGATTCAATATAAGACCAATGTTTATGTGCTTCTCGAGAAATTCGCTATCAATATATTAGAATATATGTACATGCATATATATATATATATATATAGTCTGTAATATATCAACACGTTGGCCGTCACGTTAATTCCATTGATTATTTTAAAGTTCAATTAATGTTTAAGTCATTAAAGATGCAATAAATAAATGCAATTCGCAATGAATATATTTGTTAGTTCGTCTTATTGTTAAAATACGTTAGGATGTATATTGAACATTTGTGCTATATAGATTATGTGAGAAAAGTTAATAAGTTAAAGTTCATACATTTAAAAATAACTAGTTCAAGTTAAAAACTAATTCACTTAAAAGTAACAAAATTAAATTAACACTTATTAACTATTTAACTTTATAACTTAACTATTAACCGACTAATTATGTTACGAAACCCTAATGAAATTACATAACACACGGGACGAGGAAGATTACGACGAGATGGTTGAGAGGGAAAGGTTGACAGAATGCGACAAATCGTATTGAAGAGTTGCAGAAATTAATAATATAATCCGATTATTCACTCTTTACTCGAAAGACTAAAGAGATGAAATTTGCAAGGCCCCGATTTGCAATTCAGGTATTATCCATACAGTTTCGCTAAATTCGCGATGTTCCCGTGCGTATGGCATCCTATTTTATTTATATACATGCAAACTTAATATTTATACAGTGCATCGATCAAAATGTCACTACGTTTGTATGTTAAATCGCCAAACAGCAGCGCGGCATTAATATATACTTTATGAATTTCGGTATACAAGAAAGAGAGAGAGAGAGAGAGAGAGAGAGACGTGACGCGCGCGTTGGTTCGGTGCTTTAAACCGAGCACGGCAGTTTTACAGTCGATTGGAGTATCGACGCGCAACAAGTAACGCAAATGATCAGAGGAGACTCTCCTAAAAGAGATCATGGCTGACAAACTGTGGCTCGGATGCGAAGAGGAGGACAAGTCGATGCAAAATAGAGGCGATTATTTTATATACTGAATAATTTGTCTCTGCATTCTTCTGCTCTTTTTCATTGGATAATCGTGGCGCCAGCTTCTGACCTGTTTATACGCCTCGTCGCTCCCACACGAGTGTATTACACTACAACTTACACGCGTTGGCTGATTAAAGGTTCGCGGTTATTACGTAACTGGGATGAGACTTCGTGTTTATCGACATGGGATGTATGTATGCACGTCACGTTTCGGTTCACAACCAGTACTCTCTCTTTCTCTCTCTTCAATATACAGGGTGTCTCAGACCAACGAGGACAATCTTCGCGAAGGCGTGCAACGGATTGAGATGAACAAAAAATATAATTGCCGTGAAATCGCTGTGAAATCGAGAAGCCGATAGTAATGTCATAAAATTAAGATATGAGCTAAACTAAAAGTCTCTTCCTCCCGTTGCGCACAATCACATAAAATACAATTATATGAGAAATCGCGACGAGATCGAAGAGATGCCAAGGCGTTTCGAAGAGCCCTCGGTATCACCAGACTGACTGGAAAAATTGGCGTTCAGTGAACAACGTCGGGACAAGATAAAGGTATATCAGATATATGCGGACAGGGGTTTCTTCCGTATATAAAATACGAAACGCACCTGCGTGACAGCCCCGGATGGCGGACGAAAGACGACAACGACGACAACGTGACCGACACCCCCTCCCTCCTCAATTCTCTGACACTCTCACACACTCTCATAAGAGGACGGACGCTACGAAGGGAGAATAACAACGTCGAAATCCCGCGATTTGCTCAGGCACATAAGAAACTCTCTCGCATTATGTCACTCCACAAGGCACCTGCTCCGCGAAGAATTCGTCCTGGAGATGACGCACAGGGTGGCCATTAGGAAGTTGCTGAAAGTAAATATTTATAACTTTCTTCTATCTGTCTGACGAAGGTTAATACGGCTATAATCGTGTACTACAAACTCGTCAGTTTTATTTCAGCCGTTGTAGAAAGCAGTTTACGAAGAGAAACATGAGCGATCTTACCGTCGAAGAGAAGGTATATCTCATCGAGTGCTTTTATGGAAGAGGAAAGATTTACGCAAATGCATATCGCGGATTCTGTATCAAATGTGGATCGAAAAGAGTTGCAAGTGAGAACACAGTGAAAAGGTTAGATTTTTACTGTTTTATGTGGCGCGTGGATATTGCGCTTCTGTCATGCGTTGCGTTGATTGTCCAAGATGTTCTCGATTTCTTGATACCTTTGCGCAGAATTATCGATAATTTTGTCACATATGGTGCATTACATGACCGAAAGCACGATTTACCTGGACCCTCGTGTGCCGTAACGACAGAAGAAACTATTGAAGACATCGAGAAATATTTCGAAACGAATCCCAATTCTTCCATTCGGAAAGCTGCTCAAGTTCTCGGGGTTAAAAAGGGAAAATTAATGGAAAATCGTAAAAAATATTATAAAGCTAGACTCATACAAAATAATAACGTATCAATTGTTAAGCCCAACAGCTATGGAGAAGCGAATACAATTTTGCAACACAGTGACCGAAATGTTTGAAAACAGGGATCTTAACGAAAAGCAAATTATTTTTACAGACGATGTCAATGGAGGTCTCAAATGACCACCCTATTCATCTAAATCCTTGCGATTTTTTTGTGGGGATATGTGAAAGACAATTATCAGGCCGATCACCGCCAACATTAGATGATTTGAAAATATTTGTTAGAAAATGTATTCAGGCCATTTCTCCATCTATGTTAGAACATGTTTTCCATAGTTTGTGAAAACATAATGATTATTGTGCAAATTCAGGCGGTCATCATTTCGAAAACATATATCACCAAATCACACTTATAGCCGATTTTTCGCTCTTTTCTATTATGTTTATTTTTATAAATTTATAAAAATATATTTCGTTTTGCATTACGCGGCAATAAAAATGACGGGTGTTCTTTTCAAAATAGTGTTTAGTTCATTTCATTCTGTCCACTTGTTGTTAAATAGCTATTCAGTTTCAGCAACTTCTTAATGGTCATCCTGTATATACGATCGGCCGACCGATATGGAGAATCGGCCGACGCCCCCCTTTTTGGTATGCGTAATCGCACGTTTTATTTATTACTTGCGACAGTAGTCAGGTGGAAATGCTAATCGGTCTGTTTTTTCTGCCGGAAAGGATCCAGACGCGGAAGGGAAGGAGATAGGGGATGCAATTTCGATCCGTGCAAAAAAGTACTAAAGTGCGTTCAGTTTGCTGCTTAGTAACCGCGTGAACGTGTTAATATTTCATATATCGTGGCAAGAAGTTTGTCGGATACGTTGATTGGCCGTTCACGAGGCCGGGAGAACAGCTGGAAATCGCGAAATTTTCTGCGGAAGCGCTTAGTAATAAGCTTCCCCCTCCCTCCTCCTCATCCTTCTACCTTTAGCTGTCTACCATCGTATGAGATATCTTGTTCGTTATTATGATTCATTATCGTTGATCTACTCGTATTGTGTCTCATTTGCTAACATATCTCTTTATATTAAAATAAACACAAGAAATGTACAAAAGAAAATTTAAATAAATTTTAAGAAAAATATTGAGAAGAGATATGAAAGAGAAAAAAATAATATGATTAGATATATTTACAAATATGTAAAAAAGATACGTAAAAATATAAGTAGATAAGTGAAATATGTGAAAAATGCGAGACAGGTAGTTATTATAATTAACAATTTTTATAAAGTCTTCCATAAAAACAATATCATTGAAAAAATTATCTAGATAAATAAAAACAAAATTATTTTTATCTCATGTAAGACGATTTTTTTCGAATTTTTATCTTATCTTTATCTAGATAAATTTGAAATCATCTAGGGTAAACATTGGTTATAACGATTTCGCATAGACAACTCGGATAACTTATGCGGTATTCATTTTCCCTCCTTTTGGATCTTTCCCATATTTTTTAAATTATCGTACGTAGCGGTTTAACTAATATTCAATTATTCTGCAAGTTCTTCGAGTGTTTGATGTTGAATCTTCATCCAATAATGCATCTAACATCAATCCTCGAAACTAACCGAAACACCTGATTTAATAATACCATACAAAATTGAGTAGAAAAAAGAAATGACCAAAACTAAGAAAAAAAAAACGACAAAGGAAATACGAGAAACGATGTGAAGATAATTTGAATTAAAAAAAAATGTAGAAATAAAAATATAAAAAATAAAAGTATAAAAAATAAAAAGAGAGATAAAATCAGAGATAAAAATATAAAAAATAAAAACAGAGATAAAATCAAAAGAAAGAAAGGAGAGGAGACAGGAATAAATTTCACGTGTGCGTTCAACATTAATTAATTCATCATCATCGTTAAAATACTAATTTCGATCGTTTTAATGCAACTAATTGTCGACAACGTCATTTAATAGATTATTGCACGGAGCTGATAATTAAACCGTCGCGCCTTTCATTATTTCACTCGAGTTTGAAAGTCGTGCACGATCCAGATAAATTAAATCTGCGATTCGTATGATGTATGAAACCACGTTTTGTTAATTAATATTGACAGAATAAACTGAATTCACTGCGTATAATATGTATTAGCGAACATTTAACGTGTCGTTTTATCGCTTAAATCTTTATTTGAATGAAATAAATATTTCCATTCCCGGGAAAAAAAGATCATACATAAAATTTGCTCAAATATGACTACATATGATAATATATATGTCCACAACGAAAAAATATTGTTTACAAATTACACGCAAATATAATCGAAGTGAATGCTTTTGGCTATTTGTGCTTTCGATAGCACACGATGTCGATATTTAATTAAATGACATAATATCATTTTTTTCACATAGACATATATATGATCATATATGTAACCACATATACGGGCAAAATTCATATATGGTTTTATATAATTATATACAGTGATTATATTACAGAATGTCCCCAACTAATCTCGGTTCCCGTGGTGTGCAAGTAGGACGGGTGAAACTGAGCAAAAACATATACCATTTTGCAAATAACACGCAAATTTTTGAGTTATTAATTAAAGAAGCCTCTATGAGTGACCATTTTCAATCGTTAACTCGAAATTTTGCGTGTTATTTGCAAAATGGTATAGCACTTTTCTGAAGGGAACCGAGTTTAGTTTAGGACACCCTGTATAATCATGTTTTCCCGGGTCGGAGTGCGTGCGTGTATAAGTATATTGTGCGAGTGCCGGGCCACATGTCGCTAAAAGTCGGTAAAAGACAAGTTATCGGAACTCGGATGGGAAGTCTTACCCCATCCTGCGCATTCTCCAGACACTGAACCATCCGATTATTACTTGTTCCGATCGATGCGTAACGTGTGTGCGCGCACTGAATTTCCGGAGCCGATTATCGTACAGCGGCAGCAGCGGCAGAAGTCATCCGGTTGGCCGCAAGAACGCGGCGAGTAACGAGATAGGTCCTGCACGATTTTTACGTCGCTAATCGGAATTCTCTGGCCGATGTTCGCTTTTTGCTTTTTGCTTCGTTCCGCGAGCAATAAACATCGAGATTTGATTTTTGCGTCCTCCCAACACCGGGGAAATCGTTACGAGAATTTATCGTTGTGCTCGTGTGTGTCGGATGAAAGGCGATGCTCGGCGTGTTATATCGCGAGAAAGGAAGTTCATGCAGCACGCAATGCCGCCCGTGAATCGCGGGCGAGCAGATATCGAATATAATGAGCGTTATAACGCGCCGTGGCCTATTCGTTCACGTACAAACGAGGATAATATCGAACGGAACAAAAACCAATTCTACGGCGCTCTCCGCATGGCGTGAAATTGAAAAGGCCGATATAGAATTTCCACGCAAGCACCCGTTAACTAAACAAATTAAATATATTATAGTATTATTTATATTATTTTGTTATTCGCACGGCATACTTTTGTCGCTCGTTGCAAATACAGAATATTCTGCGCGTCATTAAAAGCCAGTGATACGCAAATGCGAGTAAATGATATTTTATATTTCAAAAAACAATGTACAAGAAAGAACTTCGGATACTATGGAATAATTGGGTATACACGGAACATCACGTTGTAAAATGACGCAGCCGGCCAAACAATAATGGATCCAATAATTGTTCGACATTTGACTTAATGTGGGAGGAAACAGTCCCACACGAATGTCCGTGCGGTTTGTTTACACACAAGGTTTTTCTTTTATCTTTGTAGCTTTTGTGTGAGATATGTTCTTTAATTTAACGCTCAATCTATTCAACACACTACCAATCGTCCTTTGTCACTCGTAGAACAAAAACTTCACTTCGATTTAATTTGTCTCTCAAGTGTTTTTTATATAGAACGGTTGTCCTAATTATACTAATTATATATATAATAAGAAACGATATTATTCTATATTACGCTTTATTTTTTATACATATCATGTATTTTATACGTATTATACTATATTCTTTATCACGCAAAAGTAGTACGGACATTCTGTATATAAAATATAGTAACAGACGGCGCTGTCCTTCTAAAATATACTTTCTATAATCTGGCTGCTATCTTGTCACTAATTTAAGTTGTTCAGCGCATTTAAATTAGGTTTATGTTGCTATAACAAAATTTGTCTAGTAACTATTTAGTAGCGACGTACAGAATATCCAGAATGGAAATTAAATGTTAGGATTATATCTACTAGCTAGATAGTAAATTTGTATATTATATTGCGTATTAATTAGCATGGTAGCTCGCATGCGAGTTAATACGAAGATAAGCATCGTGTGAGGAGGGCTTTAGTTCTACTAGTAGCTGTAACGATTATACAGACAACGGCTGGACAAGAAAGATTATACAGTAACGAGATAGGAAACATCAGTACATTCTGAATGGAAATTGAATGTCAGGACTGCCCACTTAATATACAGTGAATTTGTGTTGACTTTACGTCGCCATTTATTTAATTAATACTAGGAGAACCAAGTCTTAGAAGATTAGTTAAGCAATAGAAAGGAATAAGTAGACAATGAAAACATAATACATAAAAACTATTAACTAACTTTTCTAATATAGCCATTAGGAGAAATGAACGTTAGATTACTATCTAGCAGCCAGCTATGATTTTCTATCTCAAAATCTATCTTCGAAAACATTTCAATAACACTAACATAGCTAAAGACGAAGAGAGTCTCTGATATATATATTAAAAAGAGAAAAAATTCTTAATTTTACAATTTAACGAAGATTAATTCCTTTCTCTCTTGGATGATTTTCAATTAACCTTTTAAAAATAAAACGGTATTCGTGTCACCAAGAGTTTTTCAGTGTATATAATAACGTCGATAAGAATAAAATTAATAGGAAGGGTCTCGCGATTACTTCAACTGATTACAATTCAGCGAAATATTCGGTAACAAATTGTTCTCCCGCGAGCGTGTATCTTTCCTCGACATTATCGAACAACACGCTCCCGACAATTCTCGCTATTGTAATCACGCTGACGCGGTGATTAATTCCCCGGTGACTTTCCGAAAGGCAGAAATCGTTCGCCGGTTCACAGTTATTCCCGTCACGATGATAGATGCGCTTACTGATCCATCGGACCGTGGATAAATTAGATCTGCCTGCGGAGCCCGACAGA